ATATTTACTATTACGGCGGCATTTGCGCTATTTCCATAATTTTTAAACAATTCACTATATGAAAACTATATATCATTCGGTCGGTAATTGTCTACTAAATACATTTTAACAAAAAATATTGATTAAAAAATTCCAATTATCAAATATATTAATTCGACAATTCAATCAATTACGTCAAAAACGCATGTAGATCGGTAACAGGAGCGTCGCACACGCAATAGCAAAATGTTGATAATTTCCATAAAACAAACAATACAAACAGAAAAATTTACCAAAAAAAGTTCAAAATCTGACGTAAATGATGTAAAGTTTTACAGTTGTGATATTGTTTAATCCGAATGCTGTGAACGCGTTGTTCAAAATGCAAGACAGCGATGTAGATAAGCGGTATATGAAATGTAGATATGGGTATATGAAATGTCATCGGTAACTTAAAAAAATAATTTCATGAGCAAAATCAATTTTAAAATGGCATGTCAATGATCCTTTTTGTGTGCAAGGAACTATTTTTAAATTAGACTGATATTTAGTATCGATATGTATGTCGGGTTTCTGATATTAAGCCGATTTATTGTGGGGACATTGACTAGGATGGTGTGTCACAAAGTTTGGAGGTTCAATGTCTCAAAGTTTTTAAGATTCGTAAAATGGCAAATTTTTTAATGCTGGATGAAAAATTGATGTTGAAAATTATTATAAATTCTGCAAAATGTTGCCATGTTATGAAGGAAAATATCTCTAGACAGAATTTTAACTTGCGGTGCCTTACATTTTAACAATAATTGCCGTGTTACATGTATGTACTACATGTAGCTATACGTCACAATTGAATTTGACGGCAAAAACGTCACGTTTAAATGCTACACTCCAGCTATGACCTACATTTTAAAAATTCATTTTCCTAATTTGGCACCAAACAACGTTTAATACAAAATGTGCAAAATCAAAACTTTATTAAGATATGAAAATGAATTGATTCTAAAAAGAAGTGTTTGTTTTAGAGGCTTTTTACAATGTCAACATTAATGTCACACATTATCCAAAAGTAATAAATCTTACTATAATTGTATAAATGTGGTAACATTGATCATATGTGTAGTCATTGAAAATAGACATATTGAAAATTAAAGGATTTTTATGAAATGTGCATCTTTTCAAAAAGTTATTGGTATATTCCAAAATAAGTTCAATAGAATTGTGAAAAAATCCTAACAAAAATGAAATGTCAACATAAATGTCACAGACGTAAAAATTTGGCGGTTTGACGTTATTAGGTTCAATGCATAAAATGTTATGTAAAGCGTCAATATATTTTTCTCTCTCCAAAACTAATTCTTAATATTATTGCTGATGAACCTGATATGGATAAGAGAAAAACATACCAATAATGAGTAATTAGGAGAATAATTCAAGTTTTAAAAGTTATTTTATTTATTTATTAAAAGTATTTATATATAAAGTAAAACATGTGCAGTGTTTACTTGTACACTGTATCAGTGTCTATCCTTGTCAGAATCTGTACAAAAGTTCTTATCAGATTTCGAATTAAGACACGAAAAGAAAATCACACAAACCAAAATTGATGCAAGGATATGATTTCAAATTTGAATTAACTCACAGTAAAGTGTGTCAACTCTATTTTATGCTGGTATAAACTGTTCTATACATGGCGAGTTACATTGAATAGTCCAATATTGAATAAGGGTTAGGGGTTGTCGGAGGTCAGTACATATGAATCAGATTTTCATTACAAGATGGGATGGAAATTAACAAATAATAATTCAATTCTAAATCAGCAACATATCTACAACGTACAATTAACTGAAAACAAAGGACAGGTTCTAGGGCCTACTGATATGATATCATATAGAATTGTTTTGAATTTATCTCAATAAAATAAAAAGCATGTAAATTTAAAATGCGATGTTGAACAAGTTTCGTTATTTCTACCAAGTTTTTTTTTATGAGGCAAACCATGCTTATATTCTCCTCCTGTAATATGCATGCAAAAGAGTGCAGAGAATTTAATTACACGTGTTTTCAATTACTTGAATTAGTTAATTGGCGGCATTACTGGGTTTTTATTTTTTCTCCATAAAAATGTTAGCAAAAAAGTAATGACAAGTAAATTTTCTAGAACTTCACGTAAAAAAACGTCATTTTGACATTACCGAAACTGACACCAACACCGTGCGCAACGTCGTTGCAATAATGCCAGCATTTTCATTAAAATCATCATTTTTAGGTCTATGGCTGATACAATGACCGTGTCAGCCAATAGAATCTTTACATCAAATGCTGACGGCATTTTTTTAACTAATTGTTACTCCATTAATTACACCCTAAATTGTCGAGGGATATTTATATCTACAGAAGGTAGAGCTTTTCTTATACATGTACCGTTCCGAAAGAGAGGTGTAAACTGCTTTATCCTTGTGTTTCTGTCTGTCTGTCCTTGTGTCTGTTCGTAACAAATTTTCATCGCACAACTACTAATCGCAGGTGCTTGAAAATTTTAGCACACTCTTTATTCAGTTATTTTGGCATGCCATAAGGTTGGATTCATTTTTGTTGAAATCCGGATACGATGTCAGCTTCCTGGTTATCCATGCGTTTGTTCGTATCCAATTTTCGTCGCATTTTTCTCAGCAGTTACTGTAAACGTATTACATTTGGCTGTGTATTCTTTTTAGTTTCTCATAGATCTACTGTAAACGTATTATATTTGGTTGTGTATGCTTTTTAGCGCTTTTGGCGGAAAGCGATCTCCGCTAATCCAAGTATCTAAATGCCTTGCACATGTGTAGATGTATTATATTCAGCGCATACGATATTTGGCGGAAATTAGACTTTGAACAAGTTAGCATGGATTTGATTTAGCGCATATCTTTATGTATTTTCTCATACATGTAGTTATATGTGCAAGGCATTTAGCGGTGTACTTGGATAAGCTAAATCTAAAGAGAGGCTAAAATTTAAGTAATTTTTGTTTTCCGCCTGAAAAAAAACGCTAAATCTAAATTTTACACAAGTGTACAAGAGAGCGCTAAAATTTAATCTGTAATTTTTACGCTTTAATCTGCAAATTGTACATTTTAATCTATAAATAATTGCTAAATCTGAAAATTGTACACTTTAATTAGTCTGTAAATTGTACACTTTAATCCGTACACTTATTGTAAAATTGGGTGTAATTCTTTCGACAAGTGTAAATCCCTGCAACGATCGATTTGTGAAAAATATTCAGATGAGATTTTCTCTTAACAAATAAAAAAATATTTTGTATCCAACGATAGCAATATTCAGATAAAAAATATTTTTATCCCGAAGCATTTTCTCGACCTCTATGCATTATATCGAAAACATTTTTGCTGTACATGAATGCATCGCATTACATTCCATTTACATTGTACAACAAATGCATTCAAAAATGATTTACCAATAAGTATAATTCTACTTTTTGTTGGATTTAATCTTTTCCATCATGTATTTGTTCAGTTTATGTTGTACTTGAAAACTATGCTATCTGAAATGTGTTCATGTCGACAGCCAAGCTAGAAAATCATTGAAGTGTAACAAATGCACCAGAGTTTATACAATAGACCCTTTTCCTTTGACATATTTTGCCTTGGAGTTATTCCCCTTAGCCGCCATCTTGTAGGGCAAAGTAGTGAATTTACCTCTTTGAGTAACCAATTTTAAACATGCATGCAAGAAATATATGTGAGAAAATGTTAATGATCTTATAATTATGAATAAACAGAGGCTTTACCAAACATATATTCAAAAGAAAAATAGTGTTATCTTTACCTCAGTAACCAGTATAACAAATTGAACTTGGTTGAATAATGAAGGGATCTGGGAAAATTGCCCTACAATATGGCGGCTAAGGGGAATAATTCCTAAGCAAAATATGTCAAAGGAAAAGGGTCTAAAGGCACAGAAAGCAAAGGAATTTCAAGTACTAGATACATGTAATAAATCGTACAAAGATTTTGAAAAAATGCAGTTCATGGCGGCTTTAAAGGAAATTCCTTTTGAAAAATCATCAGATTTTCTTCTTTTTAAAAGTTCTTTCAATCAGATTGCTGTTTTGCACAATTAAATATTTATTTCATTTCACTTTATTCCATCAAAGAAAGTACGACACATTGTGCCAAATATTTAGTTGCTGGAGGAGAAAATACTCAGGAAAAAAACTTCCTCGGTATCAGTTCACGTCATATGCTGTATCGATATAGGAAATTTTGTTTTACTGAAATGAAAAATAATTTCATTATAAAAGCCATGTGTCATTATAACAGGATTTTTTTGTCAAAAGTATTTATTATAGCCATCATTGATCTCGATAGACATCAAAGTACTTTTTCAGACAGATTTATCACGTACGGTGTGTTTTTAAGTCTCTGTATGAGGATGATTTCACTTGACAAAATTCTACAAATTCATATTGAGAGAGAGAGAGATAGAGAATTTATTTATCTTGAAATAAATTAAAAAAATTATGTTTTACAGCTGATAATATTTCTTAGAATTCGACTTTGCCTGGCAGCATTGAAGGTAGTTTTCTTTTTCTTTCAATATATTTGTTAACACTGTCTATTTAATCTAAATAAAAGAAATACCTTTACTCTGTTTAAGGAAAATCCTATTATTAAACATATCATGTTTAAACATTAAACATATATTAAACATATCATATCATGTAAAGCAGCTTTAATGTGCCTTTATTTTCACTCTAGTTTACTGATTCTTTACCATTCATTTATAATGAAATATAAGTTTTTGAAGAAAAAAAAGAATATATAGAAAGAATAGTGTTAAAATGAGGAATTGTAGCAATTTTTAATTGAAAGATTTTTCCGGTATTTTATAATGATTTCTAGTTTTGGCTTATGATTAAACAGACATAATTTATATAAAGTCCTTTGATTAAACAAATCAAAAAATCAATAAATGAAAGGATAGGCAAACAAAAAAATTAAAAAATATAAATAAATGTATAAAATCATAAGCATTAAATAAAACTCTTAATGTCTTTTTTTTTTTTTAAAAATGTTCTTCATCAAATCTGTGATCCACTCCCAGAACTTTACTCTGAGATATTAGATAGGGATTGGCACACTGGTCAGTTTCAGTGTCATGATAACCTATTATGCAATTCTCCTGCTGGGCAGCGCGTTACAGAGTATAGTGGTTTGCTGCTTATCTAGGCCAAATTTTGAATTCTGGTAAACAAGATGTGCGCGCTTACTCCGTGCCGATTTGAATGAGAAGACTTTGCACCATATAAACCACAATAATAACCTCGGGATTTATTAACTTTGAATGGTATGAGTTATTCCTTTATCATAGACTTTAAGAGATCATTTAAAAATGGCTTTTATACTACCAGTGCATGATCAATAACTTTGCACAAAAGTATGAAGCAATGACAAAGCGTTAAGGTTATATACATGTATATGATTTGAATATTTCATTCTTAAGGGAACACAATTATATCCTTGATTCAAGTATTTGTTGTCTTTGTGAAATGTTAATCATCAAACAAAATGTTGATTTAAAAATGAAATTTCTTTACAGCATGGTGTTGGTTGCATCATCCGTATTTTCAAATTCCCACATTCAAAAGACCCGCCTTTGGTGAAGGCAAAGGTGTACGTAAATACTATTCTTCTTAAATAATATTGTCATAGTAATTATTTTTCAGCTTTTTTCAATGCAAATGAGGAAAGAAATTAAAATTGATATAATTATTTAAAATATTTTTTGTATATTTTCATTGATCATCTTAAGATACATTAAATATAGAACGCTGATGCAAACACAATTTTCTTTATCTTTACAGATTGTGCTATTCTTTCCGAGAGGCAGATATTCTAACTAAGTCTTATAGATCCGCCGCTCTGTTCTACCTATACAGTGAACATAGGATTTCTCTGATTCTGTTCTTTCAAAAATTCAGTGAATGGATTAGACGCCGTTTTCAATCTTTAAAAACCCGGTGACTTGAAAGAAAATAAATTGAAACTTGTACCGATCATGGAATTTAAAAGTGATTAACATATTGAATATGGGTTTGTATTAAAGGTTCAAAAATTAAATATAATTTGTGTTTATTTCTTTTAAAATATAAATATATCATTATTTAATGAGAAAAAGTAAAAATTCAGGAAATACTTTTGTAACCTCGACTTGAATGTTTTGAAAACGTTTTAAAAACCAAACAAATTAAACGTGAATAAAACATTTTTGAAAATGTTTTAAAAACATTTAAAAACAATGTTATGATAACATTTCTTGAAATGTTTTGTAAAATGTTTTAAAAACATTTAAAAAACCATACAAAATCACGTGATTAAAACATTGTTGATAAATGTTTTTGTAACATTTTAAGAAAATGTTCCGGAAACATTTGCTGAAATATTTCACTAAAATGTTTTAAAAACGTTTAAAAAACCATACAAATTCACGTGATTAAAACATCATTGAAAATGTTTTTGCAACATTTTTAAGAAAATGTTCTGATAACATTTTGCTGAAATATTTCACTAAAATGTTTTAAAAACGTTTAAAAAACCATACAAAATCACATGATTAAAACATTTTTAAACATGTTTTCGCAACATTTTGAAAATGTTTTAAAAACGTTTTAAATGTTTTTGTGTTAGCTGGGTCACTATCATGCAATAAATGTATAATAAATAAGAAAACCTTTGGTCATAGGTATGGTGTTAGGGGCACTTGCATGTGATGGCCGGATGCTGGGGGTAGAGTGGTTGTTGGGTTTTTTTTCAAGGATACCTTACATGTGAATTGAATTAACCCGTTATTTCCATGGAATTAAATGTTGAGCTTATTGTTTATATCGTCAAAAAGCTTCCGTACATTGTCCTCGTGTAAAAGTACTTAGTAAGCTGTCAAATGTGAAAATCAGCGCTCGTCGCAAAAAAGTTTCAGTAAATGACTTGAGGCATAGTACATGTAGTTTTTGTTTCGATGATGTTTTACTCAAATTGACACGCAACCGCTTACTGAAAGAAGGCCACAAATCTCGACATAAGCTCGGCATTTAGGGCTCTGAATATTGAGGACATTTTTGGCAATAGCAGTGCAAGCACCTACTGTCACACGGGACTTCGGTCTATACATGTACCTTCTGAAAAAAAAAACTTAATGGATCCGTCTCCACTTCCTGCTAAAGGTCACTTCAAGATCACATGACAACATTCCCACAATTGAAGTGGTTGACGTTTTAAACCTGAGGCCATGAAATTCACAATTTAGAAAAAGACATCCTTGCTTATCAAACCTTTACATTTAGTTTGTTAACTTAATACAAAGAAGCATTGGTGATGATACTCAAATATTTAATACATTTTCACTATCTAATAAGTAGAGCCCTCATCCAAAAGGAATCCTGACCATGAGACTAAACACTCCAATTTTTCGAAGAGACACCCTTGCTCACCATAACTACACAATAACTTGTTTTTTTTAATATCAAGATGCAGATAAGATGATGACATTAAAGCATTCTCGTTACATAATCAAAGGAAACCTACCCATTGAGCTCTTAAGCCTGTGACCACATCGTTGAGGATATACCTTTGCTCATGATACATTTAGATAGCATTTTATAATAAGTTTTCCTTTTACGTCAAAAATGTAATTAGATGTTTACTGTAATTATCAAAATAGACCTTGCAATGCAGTGTTTTGTTTCTTAGCGTATGAATTGATTTTTACGTTTGAAAAATCTTGTCTTGTCAATTTTATTGTGGGAAAAGTATGTTAGAAAAAAATTCAAACATAGCATTCAGAATAAATAATTAACTAACGGTCTGCAAGAAAATA